GTCCATGGGATTCTCCAGACAAGAATACTGGAATGGGTAGCCATTCTCTTCTCCAGGGGATCTTCCTGACCCAGAGATTGAACCCAGATCTCCTGCATAGCAGGCAGATTCTTTACCATCTGAGCCACCAGGGGGCTTGGGTTCAATTTCTGGTTGGGGAACTAGATCCCACATGCCACAACAAAGATGGAAGATCCTGTGTGCCACAACTAAGACCCAGTGCAGCCAAATAAACAAATACTAAATATTAAAAACAACAACAACACACAAAAAAATAACCAAGCAGGGAAACGAGCATTATAAAAGTCAGAATGATAGTTCCCTCTGTGGGGAAGGAGAAGATTACTAACCAGAGAAATATCTAGGGGGCTGGCAATGTTCTCCTTCTTGGCCTGGGTGCTGGTTATATACTTTGTCATATATTTCATGTACTTTTCTGTATGAGTGTTATATTTCACAATTTAAAAAATTATTAATGCTATCAATGAACACCATGATTATTTAAGTCAAAGAAGGGAACAATCGAATTGCATCTTAGTACAGATTAACAGTTCACATTTGTCGATGCTTTCTTGGTGTGAGGCACCCTGAGAAATTCTTTATGTGCATCATCTCATTCCCTGGAGGCAGCACTGACATTTCTGGGGCATCACAGGGCCAGCCAGGGACACTGGTTTTGGGAATTGCTGATGACAGCCTGCAGAGGCGGTGGCACTGGGGAGAGGTGAAACTTTGTCAGTTGCAGATTCAGCCAGCCCTGGGTTAGCCTCAGCCCAAACTCAAACTTTTTCGTGAACTTGGGCAAATGGGTTTCCCTCTCGCAGCGCAGGTTTCTCCTCTGGAAAACGGGATGTGAAGGGCCTCATGTCCTCTCCAGGCTGCCCCGGTGGCTCAGTCAGTAAAGAATCTGCCTGCAATGCAGGAGACCTGGGTTTGATCCCTGGGTCGGGAAGATCCCCTGGAGAAGGGAATGGCAGCCCACTCCTGTATTCTTGCCTGGAGAATTCCATGGACAGAGGAGCCTGGTGGGTTACAGTCCATGAGGTTGCAAGAGTTGGACACGACTGAGTGACTAAACCACCACCACACTCCACAATCCCTAAATCCAAAAGCTCTGAAAACCAAGTCTTTCACAGACACACCTGATGGCAGACCTGCCTGGAACTGATGGAAGATTTTATTTATGATATGAACATGCATTTCACTGAAGAATTAGCAGTGTGTTTGACTACTCCCCAGTCCTGCTAGGGGTTTTTTTGGAAAACATTTTTAAGTAATTATGTATTTACTTTTGGCTGCCCTATGTCTTTGTTGCTGCACGCAGGCTTTCTGTTTGCGGAAAGCAGGGGCCACTCTCTGGTTTCAGTGGGCGGGCTTTTTATTGTGGTAGTTTCTCTTGTCGTGAAGAGCCCCGTGCCTTGCCTTGTCGAGGCGTGGGGCTCCAGTAGTTATGGCTTGTGGGCTCTGGAGTGTGGGTTCAGTAGCTTGATGCACAGGCTTAGTTGCCCCTTCTCATGTGGAATCCTCCCGGACCAGGATCTAACCTGTGTCCCTTGCATTAGCAAGCAGATTCCCAACCACTGGACCATCAGGGAAGTCTACCCCAATAAGGATCATATGTAATACACAGGATGGTTCTTTGTGACTTGCCTCATATTCAATTCCCAAATGCACTGAGTAGCAAAAGTTGTGGCTAACACGCTGTGGACTTGTAGTAACTCTCACTTCCCATGGTGATGGGGAAATTAAACAAGATCAAGGCTGATCAACAAGTGTTAAGCTGCCATTGTGACTGCTGTGACAACAATTAGCAGTCAAGGCTAGCTATGGGACTGGAGTCTGGGGCTGCACCTCCTTATGTCAGAATCATGCAGTCACTGAAACCATGACTGGAGGAATGTGGGTTAAGGGGATTCGTGCCTAGGAAGGAACAAAATACAGCAGGACACAAAACCGCACCAATGGCAAGATCAGAGCCATCTGGTGAATTTAAAAAAAGGCAAAAGATGGACTTTCCTAGTGGTTCAGTGGTTAAGAATCTGCCTTCCAGTGCAGGGGACGCAGGTTCATCTCTGGTCAGAAAACTAAGATCCCATATGCTTCAGGGGCAGCTAAGCCTGTGCCCTACAATATTGAGCCCCAAGAGCAGTTATGATGTTATGCATAATTATTCACAGGTGAGCTGACCATGGTCGTTAAGAAAAACCCTTCGCAAAATACTAACAGCTACTGTTAACTGAAAAATAAATCCTCCAGGCATGTGGAAAGTGCTTTCCAAGATCTCACAGAAGTCTCACCAACAGCCCCATGGGGCCGGTGCTATTTTTTAGCTGGGGAAACTGAGGCTTGGAGGAGGGAAGCAATCAACCTGAGGTCACCCAATAAGCAAGGGGCATATTGGTTTGGAGGACTCCAGGGTTGTGCCACTGTGCATGTTTTTATCTCTGAGTTTCTAAACTTTTATCTTACTTTATTTTTTATATTTGTTTATTTTTCTGTCTCAATGCATTTTATTTATTTATTTTTATTGGAGTATAGATGCTTTACAATGTTGTGTTAGTTTCTGCCGATAAATCATCTGTCTTTATCTTCCCTAGATTTCACCATAAAAATGTCACCATACAGAAAAGCTGAGAATATAGTTAAAATGGATATCTCTGTTCCATATTTTGCCAAATTTGCTCTCTCTCTCTCGATGAACTATTAAATACCTGAATATGCATCTCCTAAGAAAGAATAAGGACCCTCTATAGGTCTATTATCTCTCAACCCACTAAGAGAAATTCAATCTACTATCTAATATTCAGTCTATGAACATTTTTTCTCATTGTTCCAAGGTCTTCTGGAATTGTATCTTCCAAACAAAGATGGGACTCACACACTGCTGGGGGTGCTCATTTCTCTGTAATTTAATCTAAAAGACTGCCCCTGGGAATTACCTAGCAGTCCAGTGGTTAGGACTCCAAAATCTCACTGCCAAGGGCTGGGTTTTTTTGGATACCTGGTCTGGGAGCTAGTATTGCCAAAACAAAACAAAAACAAAAAACACTGCCCCGGCCTTTTCCGTTTTTCTTAAACAGATTATATTACTTTTATCATAGGGAAAAAAATAAGGCAGTCTCATTTATATTTGATTTGTGAACTATATGTACATCTTGATTGGATTGAAAAATTAGCATTTAAATAAATATGAAAACTTTATTAAAAGGAGAGTCAACAGATTCTATATATGTATATAGAATATACAAATATATTTAGATATGCTTAAAGAAAAAAAACAAAAGTTTACAAAAAATTATTTCTTTAGAGATGCTAAAAGGAATGTTGATTATACATGGAGGAGAGAAACCCTGGAGATGATAAACTTCTGTCCCCATCTATTTTTAGCAAAAGATAACAGACATTGTGTAAAAGTTGATAAACTAACAAATAACAATGGAAGAATTTGCTTTAAAGATTTGGAAGGAACCACCAGAGGAATAAAGAGCAAAAATGGTTTAAAACGACACACAAGTTACTTCTGCCATTTCTGAAAAGTAATTTAATTACAAAATTTAAAAACTGGCTGTGGGGGAGATTGCGCTTGTTTAAAGGATTGATATTGCATGGAAACCTTTGCCTTTTGTACTTGTGTTACTGGGACATTAAAAAAAATGTTATTGTCTATTTTAAAAGTAGACTGGTAATACTATAGTCTTTCAAAATAGCGGTAAACAGCTGCCGTCTAAAGTTGAAGGATCAAGACACGGAACGTTAACAAATATGACCGGTCACTGCAAAAGTTAACTTAGAACAAAGTTTAAATTGGGTAGAGCGGCCGCAGCTAAAAACAAACTGTGCCCAAGTTGCTAAAGCAAGAAACGGTGCTCTAAGATCTTCCGATTCGTAGATTTTCCTGCCAGCCAGAGGACACAAAAAACAGAATTGGTAAAAAGTGGTCCGGCCTTTCACCAGCTGCTGTGAACACGTGTTGGTCGAGTACGTGGGGGTGGGGGTGGTGTTTAATAGTGGCCCCCTCAGATCAGCAGGCTGGCGGAGAGGCGAGGGCTTTAGAGGACCGGTTTCATAGCCAAGCCCTTTTCCTACGGTCTGGGCCTTTCAAATGTGCATTCGTGTAAACTCTGGACTTAAAGGGGCAGAAGCCGGGGAAGGGGTGTTGGGGCGCAGGACTCCAGGGACACGCCACTCCGGGCCGGGCCTGGGATGGAAATCCTCCCCGGGGCGCCCTAGCTGCGAGTGTGGACGGACACCGGTCCCGACCTCGGACCCTACCTGTCCCGGCGCTCACCTGGCGGCCTGCTCGGAGGTGGCGGCGGACTACGATCCCCTTCCCCACCCTGCTCTGAGAGGCAGTCCGGGGGGTGCTCCTCGGGATCAGCCCCGCCCGGGAAGTCCCGGGACCTGCGCTCTGGGCAGTCGGTCCTCTGGGAGGGTGGGGGAGTGATGGTGGCGGTTGAAGTCTGGAGCCGGGGGCTGGAGACTGAAGTCCGGCGGGCAGGCGGGCGGCTGCGCAGAGCGGGAGCGAGGGAGGGGCGGGGTCTGGGAGGCTGCAGGCGGCGGGGGAGGGTTCAGGGGCCGAGAGGCTGGCGGGGAGGAGACCCAATCCCTGCGCTCCCGGATTTGGGGGCCTGCTCATCTCTCCTTTGGAAAGTCTATACTTTCTCCACGTGGTTACCTGCTGCCCAGGCGCCTCGCGATCTAAGACTAGGGTGGGTCGGTGGAGGCGGGGTGGCGTGGTCGGGGGAGGACATTCACCGCAGGCATCTCCAGTGGGAGAGTTCTGCCTCCCCCGGAGTCTCCCGCGGTGGGAATTGTCCCTTCTGCCCCCACTCCCCAAATTCCCCTCTTTCCTTCTCATTCCAGCTGATCTTGAATGGCTTGAAGCAGGTTCCGGCTCGAGATTGAGGTCTAGCGGTGGCAGTGCAAGCGCAGAATCCTGATCGCCAGACCACCAGGAACAGTGGCCAGTGACAAGGCCCTGGCCCATAAACTGTGTAGAAATGAGTTTCCGCATAGAGACGGAAAGTATTTTTTTGGAAGAAAAAGGGATAGACCCACGGGAGGGCCCAGATGGGGCATTTCTTCCGGGTTTCCTTTGGCCAATCATCTTGCTTTGCCTGGTTCTGAGTCTGTATTTGGTTTATTTCAGGGTCCTCCCGTCTGCAGGAGCTTGCCTGGTGGCTCAGGCGGTAAAGAATCTGCCTGCAATGCAGGAGACCTGGGCTCGATCCCTGAGTGGGGAAGATCCCCTGGAGAAGAATATGGCAACACACTCCAGTATTCTTGCTTGGAGAATTCCATGGACAGAAGAGCCTGGCGGCCTACAGTCCATGGGACCACAAAGAGTCAGACACGACTGAGCAATTAACACTCCCATCTGTGTCTCAGCTTCTCTTAGCCAAGATGCATTCCATCGATGAGGCCTATGGTAAGTTGACATCACTTACCTGCCTTTTGACCTCCAAGGAGCCTTTCTGCGCATGTGTAGCTGATAATGTCTCCTTGACTTCAAGAACGAGGAACATGGGGTCTTTTATTTCTTATCTGGGCAGGGCCCAGCTCTTCTCTGGCTTCTCATCTTGGAGGACCTGCCCACAGGGGACAAACGCTGGCTGTTCAGACTGGGTCCATCTATCTCCTGCCTCAAGCCACTGCCTCCAGCATTCACATCTCTCTCACCATCTGTTTACTCCTAGTAAATGGCTGAGCTGTGACTCCAACCCTGGGCCTGGTGAAAAACACGTGAATTGAAGCTTCTGTCTGCAGGAATTCTCTGGAATTTATGTTGTGTCCCCAGGATAGTGTCTCAGAAGCCCAGGCTTGTTCTGAAGTTGAACATCTCTGCCACACAACCTCCTGGGGCAACAACCTGGGTGATGCTACATTAGAAACCTGCCCCTCCCCTAAATTGCAGGCAAGGGAATTAATCCGAGGTTCACAGTAAGGATGGGGCCAAGACCCATTTCTCTCTTGACCTCTGCCATTGCCCTCCACAGTGATTTTTTTTTTCCTTTTTCTGATTGCCCTAGATGGTGTGCACACACTCAAGGACTGACCTTACACATCCTAGAGGCAGCCTTCTGAACTCCAGGCCTCCTGTGCATGCGTGTTAAGTTTCTTCAGTCGTGTCTGACTCTTTGCAACACCATGGACTGTAGCCCGCCAGGCTCCTCTCTCCATAGGATTCTCCAGGCAGGAATACTGCAGTGGGTTGCCATGCCCTCCTCCAGAGAATCTTTCTGACCCAGGAATTGAACTTGCTACCCTCACGTCTGCTGCATTGGCAGGCAGGTTCTTTACCTCTAGCGCCACCTGGGAGGCTACTAGGAAATCATCAGCAATCCCAGTTACCCCAGGCCTCAGTCATCACCGGCACTATGGAACTGATAGAATGCGTCTCTATACTTAGCACAGTGTAGGTGATTCTGTCTCGGGGCAGAAAGAATTCAATGAGAGGCAGAGTGACAGGTAAGGAAAGAGTTTATTAGTGTAAGAGGCTTGAGTGCTGCACCCTGAGAATTTAGTGGGCTCCAGTTTTATAATCAAAGGAAAAGTGGGGAGGGGGAGAAAACCACCTTTTTCCTTATTCTTGAGTAGATGTCAAGCTTCCATCAGCAGCTCCTCCTTCATGTCAGGTGGAGTTTTCATGTCCCTACCTGGTCAAGCCAGCCCTGTTCTGGCATAATGGAAATGAGCAAAGAGGCGGTAACATATGCTAAGAATAGTAAACCATCTCAGGTTGCAGTATAATGTCACCCTTTCCTTTTATTTTTATTTTTGGTGTGCCCAGAGGAGCATTTCCTAGGTATTATTAACTTACTGAGCTCACTGGACAGGATGTGGGTCTCATATCACCATCATTTTTACTGTTTGGGGGCATGTCTCAGGCTTCCATGGCATGGTTTTGTTGCTAAGCAAGTCTGCTTGACTTTGTGCTTAAGCAAATCTGCTTTCTTCTTCTTCTTCTTCTTTTTTAAATGTTTATTTGGCCCCAGTGGGTCTTAGTTTTGGCATGTGAGATCTTAGTTCCCCCATCAGGGATGGAACCTGTACCCCTGCGTAAGGTTCCCTGTGCAGTCCTTGCAGTCTGGTGGCCCTCCCGACCACCAGGGAAGTCTCAAACCTGCTTTCTCAAGTGATCATTGACTTATAGGGGTCTTCCATACTTTCTTTCTCTACTCACAATCGGTTTCCCCCGGTGACTCAGACAGTAAAGAATCTGCCTGCAATGCCAGAGACCTGGGTTGGGAAGATCCCCTGGAGGAAGGCATGGCAATCCACTCTAGTGTTCTTGCTTGGAGAATCCCCATGGACAAAGGAGCCTGACAGGTTACAGTTCATGGGGTCACAAAGAGTCAGACATGACTGAGCGTCTAAGCACACACATACACTCAGTGGGATGAAGTATTTAATCACCTACTTTGTCCTTTTACTCCATCTCTACCAACTAGGCTAAATGCTTTATATGCAATTCTCTACAGCTGCCTCCTCTCCTGAGAAACTGAGGCTCAGAGATGGGTAGGCTTTGCATGAGGTGTAAGTCACTTTCTTGGGGGTCACACAAGAGGGGGTTTAAGCCTCCTCTCCCCGGGTCCCCTCCACTGGAAGCCTGGGAAAGGCACCACAGCTCTGCCGTGAGGACAGTGTGAGATCTGCACCTGTAACAGCCATGAAATTAAAAGACACTTGCTCCTTGAAAGGAAAGCTATGACAAATCTAGAGAACATATTAAAAAGCAGACATCGCTTTGCCAACAAAGATCCATAGAGTCAAAACTATGGTTTTTTCAGTAGTCATGTATAGATGTGAGATTTGGACCGTAAAGAAGGCTGAGTGCCAAAGAATTGATGCTTTTGAACTGTGGTTCTGGAGAAGACTTGAGAGTCACTTGGAGACTTGGAGATCAAACCAGTCAATCCTAAAGGAAATCAACCAAGAATATTTATTGGAAGGACTGATGCTGAAGCTAAAGCTCCAATATTTGACCACTTGAAGTGAAGAGCTGACTCACTGGAAAAGACCCTGATGCTGGGAAAGATTGAAGGTAGGAGGAGAAAGGGATGACAGAGGATGAGATGGTTGGATGGCATCACCAACTCAATGGACATGAGTTTGAGCAAACTCAGGGAAGCCTGGCGTGCTGCACTCCATGGGGTTGCAAAGAATTGGACTCGGCTTAGCGACTGAACAACAACGCTCAGTAAATGCTACCTCTCGTTATTTGTACCATCCACCTTTCAAAGCATTTTCTGATACAGGTTGTAAAATTGTTGTATTATTGATAATGTTTTTAGTATAGATCCACACACAGTCCCTTATCTGAAAGATCTAGGACTAGATAGTATGGATTCTGGAATTTTTTTTTTTAGAAGTCAGTGGGTTGGGAAGATCCCCTGGAGAAGGGAAAGGTTACCCACTCCAGTATTCTGGCCTGGAGAATTCCATGGACTGTATAGTCCATGGAGTCCCAAAGAGTTGGACATGACTGAGTGACTTTCACTTTCAGAATGTATGTAAGGCATATACAGCATTCTGCAGTATTCCCAGAAGGGTCAGGGCAGCCGTACATGATCACGTGATAATTCTACTTCAAAGCGTGTGTAGACAGAAGTACACTCTTAGTGGAATAGTTATAAATATGTGATGTCAGTCTGTCAGGTCTTATTGCCTGAAGACTTTGGGGCCTAATTTATGAAGAAAGTTTGCAGGTAAGAGACTGTAGCAATGATTTTTAGCTTTTTTTTTTTTAATTGATACCATTATTAAGCAGCTGCTTTGCAGACTTCAGATTATGTAGGTTTACAGGCACTAAACAATTTATTTCAACAGATAATGCTGGTTTGTTACAGATAAAATGGAGAAAAAACATGGTATCCCCCCCCACATAATTGGATTATCAGAGGGTGTTAAAACCATTGGTAAAAGGCTGTTGGAGAATAGTCCAGAATTATTACCCATCAGATGACTTGTTCTTTAGAGAGGGGGAAAAATATACCTACCAAGTGAGGGATGATGGGTGTTGGCAGACAGGCTTAACCAAATGATCAAATGATATCCTCAGTAGTGGGACAGCATGACCTCAAGGGTCTCTTGATGTGATACTATAGGAAGTATACAACATTGCCTAAACAGAATTCTAGTTAAAAAAATTTAAATCTCTATTTATTTCTTAAAATAATTTTATTTATTTGTTTATGGTTATGCAGGGTCTTCCTTGCTGGGAAGGCTTATCTCTAGTCGCGGTGAGTGGCGGCTACTCCTAGTTGTGGTGCATGTGCTTCTCATTGCCGTGGCTTTTCTTGTTGCAGAGCAATGAGCGCTAGGACGCACAGACTTCACTAGCCGTGGCTCCTGGGCTCTAGAGCACAGGCTCAGTAGTTGCGGCGCACAGGCTTAGCTGCTCGGTGGCCTGTGGGATCTTCCTGGACTGGTGATCGAACTCGTGTCTCCTGTAGCAGCAGCCAGATTCTTTACTGCTGAGTCACCAGGGAAACCCTAAATCTACATTTAATAATGTGAAAGCAATCGGTATTGAACGTAATACAACTGGCCCCTGCCAAAAGATAACTGTCCAGAACTTTTCAAAAAAGTCAACATGAAAAACTACAAAAGAGACTAAAGGGATCAGAAGCAGAGTCAGTTTGTGCACCTTGGCTAGGGCCTGAATTGGTGACTTCCTCTGGGTTCTGTCTTGCTCGGGGCTGGTTTTCTTTTCCTGTCTGATGATGTAGCTTGTTTCTTGCCATTCTCAACAGAGGCGCAAGGCTGCTGTCTATAGGTGATGGCCTGTGCGTTCTGTTATAAATGTTGACTGTTTTCCTGCCAGGCCACGGCATGAATGCGGGCTTTGTGTCTGGGTGTGGGACTTGCTGCCGGGCTGGCCTCCCTCGTGGGTGGTAAGAGAGCAGGAGTCCCACCTCCAGCTGCCCTCCCCTCCCCCGCAAGTGCCAGAACAGGACTGGCTTTTTCCAGAAGCCACCACCTAGCTTAGTGACTGCCTCAGGGCTGGCAGAGAGCTGGATCTCTTTAGGGAACCACCCTTCAATTCTTGTTTTCCTGACCATGAATGCTGGGCGGCTTGTGCCCTGGGGAAGGCGGGAGGACGGGGTGCAGGAAGCTTGGAAAAACTATCATCTGAGCCTGCCTTGGCTGTATTTTCTCATTCCTGCCCATTCACTACAGCCCAGGTCCTGTCGGGCTCGCTCTTTCCTGCAGTCCTGTCTTGAATGCCCTGAACTCTACTCTGATTCATGTCCCCAGGCCTCTAGCTTGTTTGTCTTACCAGAAATGTGTGGAATTTGGAATTTCTCACAAGTGGTGGAGTCTGTGGTAGTGAAACCTGAGGGAAGGGGACAGGGCACAACCTTTAAAAGAATGACAGAGCCCGAGGACACGACATAAGCTGATTAGAACCAAATAGGTCCAAGATGGTGGGCAGGTTGATTTCCACTAGGCTTTGAGCCTCAATATACACTCATTTGTAAGACATTTGCATATGCTAAGTGACATACCCACCAGTGCCTTGACAGTTCCAAGGCTGACCATCGAGGACCAAAAAGTGGGCAGTGGCCTAATCCCTGGAAGTCTCCACCCCTTCCCCCAAATTTCTTGACTTCCTACTTTTGTATTCCAGTCCCCTGTTATGAAAAGGACATCTTTTTTGAGTGTTAGCTCTAGAAGGTCTTGTAGGTCTTCACAGAACCATTCAACTTCAGCTTCTCCAGCATTGCTGGTTGAGGCATAGACTTGGATTACTGTGACATTGAATGATTTGCCTTGGAAATGAACAGAGATCATCCTGTCATTTTTGAGATTTTCTTCTAAGGGATTCTTGCCCACAGTAGTAGATATAATGGTCATCTGAATTAAATTCGCCATTCCAGTCCATTTTAGTTCACTGTGAGAGTTGGACTATAAAGAAAGCTGAGAGCCAAAGAATTGATGCTTTTCAACTGTGGTGTTGGAGAAGACTCTTGAGAGTCCCTTGGACTGCAAGGAGATCAGACCTTTCAAGTCAATCCTAAAGGAAATCAGTCCTGAATATTCATTGGAAGGATTGATGCTGAAGCTGAAACTCTAATACTTTGGCCACCCGATGGGAAGAATTGACTTATTAGAAAAGACCCTGATGCTGGGGAAGACTGAAAGTAGGAGGAGAAGGGGATGATAGAGGTTGGGATGGTTGGATGGCATCACCAACTCGATGAACATGAGTTTGAGCATACTCTGGGAGTTGGTGATGGACAGGAAAGCCTGGTGTGCTACACCAGGGGGTCACAGAGTTGGACATGACTGAGCTACTGAGCTGAACTCCCCCAAATGTTGGAATGATCCTCCCACTCATTAGCCTATAGAGTTACCCAGCCCATAAAAACTATCCACACCATATTTCAAGGCTGCTCTCCCCTTCTGAGATGACCCACACTCTGTTTGTAGAGTGTGTTTCTCTTTAAATTCTTACCTATCACTTGTCTCTCACTGAATCTTTCTGCAAGAGACCTCAAAAACCTGAGCTTCGTTAAGTCCTGAGACCAGATGTGTGATCTTGGTTAAAAGATCATGGAGTCAAGTTGCAATCTGAGTTACACAGTTACACTAGACTGAAGAAAGTCCCCCCCCCCCACACACACACAAGATATCTGTGCCCTAATTCTTGGAACCTGTGAATATTGTATTGCTGTTGTCCAGTTGCTAAGTCATGTCCGACTCTTTGTGATCCCATGAACTGCCAGGCTTCCCTGTCCTTCACTATCTCCTAGCGTTTACTCAAATTCATGCTTGTTGAGTCGGTGATGCTATCTAACCATCTCATCCTCTGTCACCCCTTTCTCCTTTTGCCTTCAAGCTTTCCCAGCATCAGGGTCTTTTCCAATGAGTTGGCTCTTCGCGTCAGGTGGCCAGAGTATTGGCCCATGCATACCTTTTGGTAACACTTCCAATCAATATTCAGGGTTGACTCCATTTAGGACTTACTGGCTTGATCTCCTTGCTATCCAAAGAACTCTCAAGAGTCTTCTCCAGCACCATAGTTCAAAATCATCAATTTTTCAGCGCTCAGCCTCCTTTATGGTCCAACTCTCAACATCCATACCTGACCACTGTAAAAACCATAGCTTTGACTAGACTGACTTTTGTTGGCAAAATGAATGTTGCCTAACACAGCAAAAAATATTATGTGGACATGATTGAGTTAAGGATCTTGGGATGCTGAGACCAGCCTGAATACAATCTCAGTATTTCTGATAGAAAGGAGACAGGAGTCGTCAGTCAGAGGGAGGGCAATGTGATAACAGAAGCAGAAATGCTAGTGATGGGCTTTGAAGGTGGAGGAAGGGGCCACAAGCCAACTGGAAGCTGAAAACGGCAAGGACATAGTCTCCCACCCAGAATCTTCTAAAGCAAACAGCCCTGCGCCCCCGTGACTATTGACCTAACTGATTTTGGACTTCTAACCTCTAGAACTGTAAAAGGATAACTTTTGCTGTGTTAAGCCATTGAGTTTATGGTAATTTGTTACAGCAGCAAAAGGAAACAAATCCAGTCTCCTTCCCCATCCCTGTGCACTGTCAGCTGATCTCCTTTTTGTTCTATTACGTTGTGCACATGGGAGTGTATTTTATCTTCTAAGGTGCTAAGAGGGTGGGCTTTGGGTCAGACTTTATTTCCTGGTGACAACAGTGATTACTGAGTGACCCAAGGCAGCTCACCCTGTTGTCTCACTGTGCTATCAGTTTCCTTGTGGTGTGAGGGTCAAATTCCAGTTTCTTTCTTTTTTTGCTTTTTGGGCTGTGTCATGCAGCAGAGTCTTAGGTCCCCAACCAGGGATCAAACCTGTGCCTCTTGTAGTGAAAGTGTGGAGTCTTAACCACTGGACCATCAGGGAAGTCTTGCCTCCATTTTCTTTACTTTTTTTTTAACTTTATTTTTTAATTGGAAAAAAATTGCTTTACAATATTGTGATGGTTTCTGCCATAGTATAATGCAAATCAGCCAAAATTATACATAAATCCTCTTCCTCTTGAGCCTCCCTCCCCTTCCCCTAACCTACCTCTCTAGATTGCCTCCATTTTCTATCAGGCCTGCATATGTTTTGTTTAGTTTTCAGTGTTTTAAAGTGTTTTCGTTGAATAGGTTAATTATCCTATAGGGTAATTTATTTTGAATAGGATAATATGTTTACATGGTATAAGAATTTAAAAGTATAAAAAATGTTTCCAGCCCTAATCTCTCTTCTACCATTGCCTTCAGCTATCCCATTTATCCACTTGATTCAGATATGTTCTTGCAGAGATTTTTCTATACATGGACAAGGAATTGCATACACACATACACACACACACATACACACTCTCTCTCTCATCAAATGAATAATAACATACCATATGCTCCCTGTTTGACACTTTGCTTTTATCATATAATATATATTTTAACATTTAGCAATTCTTTTCTAATATGGTTTATTACAGGATTTTGAATATAGTTCCCCGTGCTATCACAATAAGACCTTGTTGTCTATCCATTCTATATATAGTTTGCATCTGCTAGTCCCAAACTCCCAATGTATACCTTCTCCCCACCTCCTCTCATTTAGTATATTTTTAAAAATTATCCTCATATATCATTAGATAGAGAATTTCCTTTTTAATTTTTTTTTTTAAATTGGTCATTTGGCTTGTGGGAGCTTAATTCCCCAGCCAAAGATGGGGCCTGCGCCCTTGGCAGTGAAAGTCAGAGTCGTAAGTACTGGACCACTGGAGAATTCCCATCCTTATTTACTTATTTATTTTTGTATGAAAGTACCTGATGCTTTTCTCTTGTTCTCTACTGATAGGGAAAAAAAAAAAGTATTTCTAATAGTGCTGCCATATACAGTGTGTTTCATCATAGTATGTATTTCTAAAAGTGACTCAGTCACAAGATATGTGCATGGTTGTGATTTTACTTAAAATTTTTTAAAATTTATTTTTATTTTTTGGCTGTGCCATGTGGTAGGATCTTTGTTCCACCACCTGTGATGGAACCTGAGGCAACCCCTGTAGTGGAAGCTCCAAGTCTTAACCTCTGGACTGCCGGGGAAGTCCCTTGCTTGTAATTTTAAAAAGGAACAATGGTAAGTGTTGCTGAGTGTGTGGGCAAATTGGAACCGTCATACATTGCTGCTGGTGAAAATGTAAAATGGTGTGGCTGCTTTGAACTACACCAGTCTGGAAAAGGTCCTCAAAAAGTTGAACACAGAGTTCTCATATAACCCTCAGTTCTACTCTGAGGTATACACCATGGAGAAAGGAAAACATATGTCCACACAAATACCTGTACACAGTGTTCATAGCAAGATTATTCATAACAGCCAAAAGATAGAAACAACCCAAGTGACCATTAATGAATGAATAGATAAGCATATGTGATATTTCGATGCAATGGAATTATATTATTATTATTATTATTATTATTGGCCTCTCTGTGGAGCATGCAGGATCTTAGTTCCCTGACCAGGGATTGAACCTGAGCCTCCTGCATTGGGAATGCTGAGTCTTAACCACTGGGCCACCAGGGAAGTCCTGCAATGAAATTCTTGAAACAGGATTATTGAGCCAGAAAAAGAAATGAAGTATGAATACGTGTTACCACCAGGATGAAACTTGAAGTCGTTATGATAAGTTAAAGGACCCAGGACAGAAAGCCACATGCCGCACTGATCCCATTTATTTAGGAATGACCAGAACAGGCAAAGTAGACTAGTGGTTGCCAAAGGGGGCTTCCCAGGTGGTGCTAATGGTAAAGAATCTGCCTGCCAATGCAGGAGGCGTAAGAGACGTGAGTTCGATCCCTGGGTTGGGAAGATCCCCTGGAGTAGGAAGTGGCAACCCTCTCCAGTATTCTTGCCTAGAGAATTCTGTGGAAAGAGGAGCTTGGTGGGCTACAGTCCATGGGGTTGCAAAGAGTCGGACATGACTGAAGCAACACACACACCCCCACCAAGGGAACTGCAGAGAAAGGAGAGATGTTAAGGTTCTCGAATCAGATAATGGGTGATGGTTGAACAGTATCATGTACATACTAGAAACCACAGAGTCACACAATTTAATATGATAAATTGTTTTGTTATGTGAATTCTATCTCAATAAAAAAATACAATACTTTATACAATGGTACGTGCATAAAATTTTCTTAGTTACTGCAGAATTACCCATTGCTCAGCAATGTATGCAAGCAACCATTTTTCCACACTGCTGGATTTGCCAACAGCCATGGGGCTTGTGTGTGAATAGGAATACTAAACTAATCTTTGTTCTTTGATAAAATCACTAAGCAGTTATTCTTCTATATCAGATTTCCCTAACCCATTAAACAGTCCTTCCAAATGCTATCACTGAAACCCTTCACGAATCTAATATCAGATC